AGGTTATGGATGATGCTGCATACGTGCAGGTCTCCCTATCCACTTGCACATCTGAAAAATGACAGGCACACTGAACTGTTTACAAAAAGAGGTTTTGAACGACAGAGCAGCATTGTGGTCTGGTAACATTGTGGTCTCTTCTCTCTTTACCTTTCTTAAACATCTCAATAGTTGGAAAGATTTCAGCAGTTAATTGTGGATCAAGAGGGAATCAGGTGAAGAGTCTTCAAAGTGATAAAGCAGCATCAGGTTCTCAAAATTCATCACCCATGCTCTTTAACCTCTTGTTTGTAAACTGTTCAGTAAGTCTGTAATTTTTCAGATGTGCAAGAGGAAAGGGAGACTTGCACGTACACAGCATCACACATAACCTCAAAGAGCTTTGCAACCAATGAAGAACTTTTGAAATGTGGACACTGTAGTGATGTAGGAAACACATCAGTTAATTTTGTGCACTGCAAACGCCCACAAACAGTACTGTGAAGTTAATCTGTTTCCTACTGGTGTCGGTTGAAGATAAATGTTGGTACAGACATCTAGGGAATCTTTCCCCCACCCCCAGCTTATCCTCACCTCACCCACCGAGTGGTCATCCATCAAAAGAGTATCACAAATTTCACAGAAATATTACCTCATTATCTCAGCTAATCACCTGTTTTTTCTCTATTTTGTTGCACATTATTTTTATCCAGAAAATCATCCAATATCCTCTTGAATGCCCCCATACTCTCTTGAGTAGTCTCAGGAACTTTTATATCCAATTATAAGAGAATAGTTTGGGGCCTCAGATTTACAACTTCATGAAAAGATAACGCTCCAAAAGCGAGGCTTGGGAGTGTCAGTTCAGTTCATGGTGTCTGGAATGGAGTTTGAACCAATAGGACAGAGAGCTAAATTCTTGAGCAGTTGAATAAATTTGAAAAAAACTCTTTTGGTTTTAATAATAGCAACAACAGCTTTTTTGTATTTATGTAGCATCTTCATTCTACATTGTGTGTTTAAAATGTTGATACTGAGTTACATATGGAGATAATTATACAGACAACCAGAAGCTTGGTTCTTTAAAAGACAAAAGAAAGAGATTTTCAGGGGTAATTCCAAATCTGGGGGCCAGGCTGCTGAAGACATGCCTACCAATGATGGGAGATTTAAAATGGTGCCTGATGAAGACTGTGGAGTTGGAGGCATTCAAGGTCTCAGGGAGGATTGTGGGATGGAGGAGATTACAGAGAAAGATGTCATGTGGCACCATGGAAGGTTTTGAAAACAAGAATGGGAATTTTTCAATTGAGGCGTTATTAACGTGAAAGCCAATCAGGCCGGTTAATGGGAGGTCATGCAAGTTGATTGTAAACAGAGTCTGACATGAAACGAAGTGTCCAGTGACATTAATATCCATTTCAATGAAGGTGCACCATGTCGCACAGGACCCAATTCCCAGCAGCCAGAAACCGAAACTTTAGGCAGCTTCAAGAGTTATTACAAACATTACATTTCACTAACACTGCTGTCCAGTGGACAAAATGCATCCACAAAAGCATTCCGCATATAGAGTGGGAATTGTACTAATAAGTTACCGGTGACATCTCCGAGTCAATATAGATTTTTTGATGCACTTGCTTGCAACAGGTGGAGACAAGCTTGAAACTCGCACTTGCATTCTAATCCATTGGCATTGAATCAGGTGACGTTGGCATAGAGGGAATCTTTTACAGCTTCACATTCTGAGCACATTGTCAGGTTTGACATAACCTGCCTAAATTCCATTGGTATTGGGCCAGGTTGCAATCAAAGCATTGAAAATGAAAACCATTCCTAGCAAGGGACAAGAGAAAATGTTTTCTGAAATGTGTGATAAAAGGAAATAAAGTTGGTGCATGCCCTTGATTTTTAACAATGTGTAAGTATATTCAATAACATGAAACTATTGTGTCAATTGAGTCAAATTTAAGACATGATAGAAAGAGGTTGCATTGTTTAAGTGAACACAGGGTCTCATAGGTGTATAGGCCTTCCGTGAAAAGAACATGAGATAGTTCTCCTTAACGCAATATATTTACAAGTTCTTTTTCTAAGTTAGATTTTTGATTTCCTCACTCACTTAGTTCAGACATATAGAAACCCCACCAGAAGAGCTTCCACTAGAACCAGCTGAAGTATCTAGGCACCTGGACGTTCATAGTCAGGGAAGTAAAGGGCACAGGTTGGCAAAGATGGTATGGACAAACCACTCATCTCCAACATGTACAGAGGTAACTAAAAGACAAAGATAGACTTGCAATTATCTGAGACTTTTCCTAATCACCAGGCATGTCAAAGCACGTTACAGCCAATGAATTGCATTTGACATACAATTGCTACTGTAATATTAGTTATTTTCAGATGTTCATGGGACATAAGTACCACAGGAAAGGTCAGCATTTGTTGCCCTTGAGAAGTTGGTAGTGAGCTACCTTCTTAAACTGCTAGTGCCCATGTGCTGTGGATAGACCCACAAGGCCACTAGGGAGGGGGTTCCAGGATTTTGACCCAGTGATATATTTACAGTCAGGATGCTGAGTAGCTTGGAGAGGATCTTGCACGTTATTTTCATGGAACACCTGTAGAGTTCCACCTGCTCTCTTTCATGGTTGGGTCCACACCAGGACAGCCGTGACGAAGGTTCATGCAGAGTTTACTAGTACATTTAAGGCCTCCTGCAACTAGTAAGCACTGTAGGGCCTGGTGTGCATTATCACCCCAAAGTTTTAATTTAAGCTGCATACATTTTCTTAGTGAGTTTAAACTTTGTTACGGTATTCCTTTAAGGAGCTGTCATATTTCTGTTTGGTCTTATTTGGTTTGATTGGTTGATGTAATATAGTACAAAAGAGACTACTATTTCAGGAAAAATCACGTTGGCCCTGGGCCCCAAAACATCCCTTAGGAATTGACATTCTGCAATTTGATCCGTCTCATTGGAACTTTCCTCTGCTCCATTCCAGTTTGCATGGAGAGGTGTCCTGTAAAAGGCTGCAGCTGCACATCCCCCCTCTTCCTTGCCCTTGTCTCTTCCCTCACACTCCACAGTATGGGTGGGGCTCCTGTAGGTGGCTGTCTACATGGATGTCCTCCCCTTCACCACTGGGTGATTTACACAGCAGCATCATGCAATAGCCAACTAGGATGTCTCATGAACACCCAGGCTATTTTTGCAACCTCGGACTCTTAGTTCCACATGTACATAGGCTGCATTAGGCTACAATCTCTTTTTCATTATTTGAAGGGATTGCTTTTACACTTTTGCTTGCTGTTCAGTGCAGAGAGAGGCAGGCAAGTCAAGTGGGTCTGATCTTGCACCTGGCCAAGTTGGCCATAAGCATTTCCTGGGAGTAAGTTGTGGAGGAGATCATTGGACTCGACTGCCTGTCTCTGTTTTACGGTTACATCTGCATCAGGGTTACCCTGAAGAGGGGACATAATGGGATGATTGAGGCTGCCACGACCAGTGGTCACTGTAGGGGTAGAGTGCATCATCTCCTCTTACAACCAATGGCTAATTGAAATTTGAATCATTACATCTGAGTATTGTTACAGTGTTCCTGTTACTTTGTAATTTGGTTAACTTAAACGGGTTGTAAGAGAGTGTAAAGAGAGACAGCTGGGATGTGAGATAGTGAGGAAATTGGATGGAAGCAAACCTATTCTCAAAATTAGTAGTATCTGCTGTAATTGTTTGGGTGCGGAATCATTCAAGACCCTCCCACCTCTCTCCCAACGAGTGAGTTTTATTTCTGCCAATATCCTGCTGTTAAGTAATCCCCACTGTGTGGCTGGCAAGCTTGAAATAAATGAACTGTATGGAAATATTAGGTATAGTGTGCATCATGCTGAGTGATAAGTGTTCTGGACTAAGAAAGATCTGTTTTCTACTCTTAAATACTTCCAGACAGAGAGATTAATTGTGGCCAGAGCAGCAAGGAATGTTAATAAAGCAGGCAAATGAAGTTAAAATTCCAATCTGCCATGATCTAATTGAATGGTAGAACAGGTTTGAGGATCTGAATGGCCTCCTCCTGTTCCAACATATCAAGATAGGGAAGTGCTGGCATAGTGGCCATTTCCCTGGATTAATAATCCTATGAAGCTCAGGCTAACAGTCTGGGGATGTGAGTTCAAATCCCACCATGGCACTTCCTGGAATTTAACATCAATGAATGAAATCTAGAATTGAAAATCGATAATGGTAACACTGACCATGAGAATCTTGGTGATTGTCATTAAAACCTACTGACTGCACCAAAGCCCCTTTAGGGAAGAAATTTGACACCGTTACCTGCTCTGGTCTCTGTAACTTTAGTCCTACAGTAATGCCATTGACTTTTAACTACCCTCTATACTGGCTTTGCAAGTCACTCTGCTCAGGGGCAATTAGGGATGCTCATGCAATGCCCACATCATCAGAAAGAATCAATACACATTTCTTGAAATTGGGGCTTATCTTCTCAGTCATCTATTAATTAAAGTATGTGTTCACTTTATTTTCAATAATGTTTCTTCCACCATGAGGTGGTTTATTTTATTCCATCCAGACTGTTCACATGTTTGTGTCTTTGGTCAAACATTGGGAATGGTAGGAAAGATGAATGACTGAAGTCACTATATCACTGAGATTCCAACTCCAGGTTGCCTTCTGGGGCCAAATGGGGAGTTAGCTTGTGGAAGCTGCTATCTAAACGGAGTAATAGAGGTGAAAAGTGTTAAAGGAAAGGTGAGATTAACCATTAAGAGATGGAGAGAGGGAGGAATAAGAAGCAATACTGATAAGGTTAGATGAAAAAGGCAAGGACGAGGCTTGTGTGGAGCATCAATGCCAGCATATACCATTTGGGCCGAAAGGCCTGTCTGTGTGCTGCAGACTCCAAGTAATTTGTGGGAGATTCAGTGAAAGAGTCACATAATTTGCAAAGTGTCTTTCTTTCATGTAACACACTGACAGCACCCCAACCTTTTCTACCCAGGGCGTGGCTCCAACTCCACTGCACATACTCTGGAGCAGACAAATAAAACCCGTGCGCCAAAGTGTGAACGCACACATCCGGAGCTGGGTAGGCTGGTCCGTGCTAAAAGACACTCTCTCACAGCCAGTAAGTATTTACCAATCACTGCATTAGGCAAGGTTTAGAGTGACCCTAGGCCTGTTTGTGACTGGTTACGTGAGGATGCAAGTGTGTATCATATGGATTGTTTGTGGGCATGAGTATGTTTCTGTATATGTGTGTGCGAATGAATATTTGAGTGAGTGTGTTTGTACATATGAGTGTGAATGAATGTTTGAGTGTGTGTGTTTGTACATATGTGTGAGTGAACGAATGTTTGAGTGTGTGTGTTTGTACATATGTGTGAGTGAATGAATGTTTGAGTGCGTGTGTTTGTACATATGTGTGAGTGAATGAATGTTTGAGTGCGTGTGTTTGTATGTGTGTGTGAATGAGTGTTTGAGTGTGTGTGTTTGTACATATGTGTGAGTGAATGTATGTTTGAGTGAGTGTGTTTGTACATATGTGTGAGTGAATGTATGTTTGAGTGTGTGTGTTTGTACAAATGCGTGAGTGAATGTGTGTTTGTACGAATCTGTGTGAGTTGAGGGGATTGTATGTGTGTGGTGTGTCTGTGTGAGTACATAGGATGACCAAAAAAAGGGAGAAAATAAACTCTGCAGATAAAAATGGACAGTGAGAATTTCTTTAAATATTTGAAATGGAAGAGAGAGGTCAACATAAGCCCCTTAAAGGATGTGGCTGGGAAAAATAATAATGGGGAAAACCGAAAATGGTTTTGGAGTTAGATAAGTACATTGCATCAGTCTTCACAATAGAGAACATTAATAGCATTCCAAACATACTAAACTATAATGCAAAACGTGGGAAGGAAACGAATATAATAACAATCACCAGAGAAAATGTACTAGGGAAAAGTGTTAGGGTGGCACAGTGGCTCGGTGGTTAGCACTGCTGCCTCACAGCACCAGGGACCTGGATTCACTTTCAGCCTCAGCTGAATGTCTGTGTGGAGTTTGCATGTTCTCCCTGTGTCTGTGTGGGTTTCCTCCCATAGTCCAAAGATGTGCAGGTTAGGTGGATTGGCCATGTTAAATTGTCCCTAGTGTCCAGGGATTTGCAGCCATGGTTAATGTGGAGTTACAGGGGTGGGGCGAGTCTGGGTGAGATGCTCTTTGGAGGTCGGTGTGGACATGATGGGCTGAATGGTCTGCTTCCACACTCCAGCAATTCTAATGAGGCTAAGAGCTAATATAAAGGATGTAATAACAAGACATTTAGAAATGTATAATATAATCAGTCAGAGTCAGCATGTCTTCATGCAGAGGAAATCGTGCGTGACAAAAGTTATTAGAATTCTTTGAGGAGGTATAAAGCAGGTTAGATAAAGGTGAACCAGTCAATGTAATATATTTGGATTTCCAAAATGCATTCAATAAGATACTACACATGAAGCTACTTAATAAAAGCCCAAAGTGTGGAGGTGGTATTTTAGCATAGACAGAGGATTGGCTAACTAACAGAAGAAAAATAATTCAGATAAATTCAGGATGGCAGTCTGTGATTAGTAGGGGGGGGCACAATTATTTATAATGTATAATAATGCCTTAGATGAGGCAGGTGAAATGTATTCTTGCCAAGTTTGTAGATGTCACAAAAATATGCAGGAAGACAAGTGGTAAAGGTGCCACAAAAGTCTATCAAGGGATATAAACAGATCGAGTGGGTGAGCAAAACTTTGGCAATGTATCATACTGCATGAAAACGTGCAGAAATGCACTTTGGCAGGAAGAATAAAAGAGTCAAATATATTTTATAGAGAAATACTGCAGAAAGCTGAGTATGGAGGGAGTTTCTTATGAAGAGAGATTGAGCAGATTCTTTGGAATTTAGAAGAATGAGAGGAAACTTCATTGAAACATTTAAGATTCTAAGGAGGCTTGACAGGTAGATGTGGAGGTGTTGTTTCCCATTGTAGGAGAGTCTAGAGCCAGAAAATATAATCTCAGAGCAAGAGGTTGCCCATTTAAAATTGAAATGAGGAAGAACTTCTTCTATCAAAGAGTAGTGAATCTGTGGAATTCTTTACCACAAAGGGTTGTTGAGGCTGGGTGATTACATATGTACAAGGCTAAAATGGAATTTTCATCTGCAAGGACATTAAGGATTAAAGGGAAAAGACAGGAAAGTGGAGTTGAGGAATCAGATCAGCCATGATCTCATTGAATAGCGGGGCAGACTCAATGGGCTGAATGTCCTAGTCTGCTCCTACATCTTGTTGTGTTATGGTTTATGGTGTGTGTATTTGAATGATTTTGTGTATGCGCATGAGGAGCATGTGTGCATTTATGTGTGTGCATGTGTGAATGTGCGTATGTGCGCATGCATGTGCGTGTGTGTGTGCGCGTGCATGTGTATGTGCATGTGTGTGTGTGCATTTCCCAGTGAAAGATTCTCACTTAAGTCCCAAAGATTTGGAAGTATTAAAGGGCAATCCATGTGGCATGTCAGTAGCGGGTGGTAACTGTATTTTATGGTCACTGGATCCATGTGAAGTCAATGGCAGTTATTTCATTTTGCCAACTCTTCTTCCCATTCATTGTACCAGTGAATACTACCTGAGATGAGGAGAAATGTTCAGAGGAATACAAGAAGGAGGGGTTAATCTTAACCTGTGGTGAGAGTGTAAAACAGGAGCTGAGGATCGATGTATGATCAGCTGCCTGTCATACATCTTGGAGTCTTAGATTACAGCACAGAAGGAGGCCATTTTCCCATTATGTTTGCGCTGACCCTCAGCCACAGCAGTTTATCTAGTCCCATTCCCCTGCCTTTTCCCTGTCAGCCTACTGATTTTTTTTTTTATTCTGATGATCATCCAATTGCCACATGAAAGCCATAATTGAACCTGCCTCCATAATACTGTCAGATACTGTATTCCAATTATTAACATCTTGCTGTATAAATTGGTGTCCTCTGGCTCTGAAGCCCCCACTAATGGGAATAGTTTCTCATTCACTATTCCATCCAGCCCCTTCATGATCTTGAGCACCTCTATTAAATCTTCTCTTCACATTCTCACATGCCAGCTTCTCCAATCTATCCATTTAGCTGACTGTCCCAATCTTTCAGTCTGATTTTCATTGATAGTCCAACAATTAAAAAGACTCTAAATGCTATGTCCTTTCCCCAACAAAAATCCAAATTATCTGAGCAAAAGTTAACAGAAATGAGATATTCAGATTTTTAATTTGATTTGATTTATTATTGTCACATGTATCTAGGTACAGTGAGAAGCTTTGTTTTATATGCAGTACAGGCAGGTCATACCATACAAAGTGCATTAGGGTAACAGAACAGAGCAAAGAATATAATGTTACAGTTGCAGAGAAGGTGCACAACGAACGAGATCAACATTTAAATTTAAAATTTGAGAGGTCCATTCAGAAGTCTATAAACAGCAGGGAAGAAGCTGTTCTTGAATCTGTTGGTATGTCTATGTAAGATTTTGTATCTTCTGCCCAAAGGAAAGGTTGGAAGAGATTATAACTATGGTGGGAGGGGACTTTGTTGATATTGGCTGCCTTCCCAAGGTAGCAAGAAGTATAGATGGAGAGAATGGATGGAAGGTTGGCTTGCCTGATGGACTGGGCTGTGTTCACAACTCTCTGTAGTTTCTTACGGTCCTGGACGTCCAGCTAAAATGCTTCCTATGGTGCATCTTTAGAAATTGGTAGGGGTCTTTATGGACATGCTAAATTTCCTTAGCCTCTTGAGGAAATAGAGATGTTGTTGTGCTTTCTTGCATCAACGTGGGTGGACCAGGACAAATGGTTGGTGATTGTCACTCCTAGGAACTTGATGCTCTCAACCATCTCCACCTCAACTCCATTGATGTAGATAGGGGCGTGCCCTCCACCTTGCTTCCTGAAGTCAATGACCAGCTTATCTTGATAATTTATGGAGGATTTTATAACAACTTGTTAACACGTAGCTAATAATACAAAAGAATATGCTTGCCTTAGAGACAATGTAGTGAAGATTCACTAGTTTGGTCTGCTGTGGGATGAGAGGTTTGTCCTGTGTTGGGAGGCTGAGCAAATTGGACCTAAGCATACAAAATTCTGAAGATGCTTGACAGGTTGATACTAAGTAACCAGATTGTTTCCCTGGTTGGGGAATCTAAATAATCTAGACCTGGAATAAGAGACTGACCACGCAGGACTGAGATGAGGAGACAGTCAAAGGTTTGTGAATCCTTGGGATTGTCTGTGCCGGAGAGTTGTGGACGCTACAATGTTGATAGATATTGAACACGGAGGGAGAGATTTTTACGGAGTCAGGAAGACTCCACAGGCCTCTTAAATTGTGGGCAGGACTTGGATGCAGAAATGCTGCTTGCATTTTTGGCAGATCCAATGTTTGCCAGTAGGATGAAAGGGGTAAGTCATGAGTCTCACGGGAGGGAACTCAGCAGGGACATTTGAACTTAGCGCTGAATTTAAACAGACCCCATTTTGCTTGTTACAAGACCTAAACCAATTGCGTGAGAGTGATGAATTGATGGAGCAGATGTAAACACTCCTCAAGAGTGATAACATGTACTTTACCTACATTTTTAAATTCCCTGTTCTTTAATTTTCTTTTAAAGGCTGCATGCTGGTAAAAAAAAAGCATAGAATCTTCGAATTGTACAGCCAGAAGGAGACCATTCAGTCCATCATTACTGTCCTGGCTCTTTGAAAGAGTCGTGGGTAGCACAGTAGGACGTGTGTTTGATTTCAGCCGCAGCTGTCTGTGTGGAGTTTGCACGTTCTCCCCGTGTCTGCGTGGGTTCCCTCTGGGTGCTCTGGTTTCCTCCCACAGTCCAAAGGTTATATGGATTGGCCATGTAGGGTTACAGGGATGGGGTGGGGGGATTGGGTGCAGTGGCATCCTCTTTGAGGGATGGTGCAGACCTGATGGGCTGAATGGCCTCTATCTGCACTTTAGGGATTCTAGTCTCCTAGAACTGCTTTGTTCCCATAATCCTGCAAGTACATCCTATTCTAATACTTGTATAATTTCTGATTCAATCAAGCTGTTTG